TAAAAAGTTTATGTAATCATTAATGTATTTTTCATCAATGTGACCCTTTACTTCAGCCACGAATAAAGTATTTTTCTTTCTAATAATTCCCAGTGCTTTTGCTTTCTTTGTTGCTGTATCACAAATGATAACACCATTCAATCTTCCCGGCATATACATTTTATGGTCAGTATATTGAATGAAATCATGAGGATTAGATGAAAATGATGAAGGATATAATGAATTAAATCAACTCCAACGAAATGAGTCATGATGTTGGTGGTGTCCTCATTTGATACAGTTTTAGTTTCTGGACTATATGAAAGTTTATTAATGTGCGTGATTCCTTTAAGATTAACACGATGTTGAACATTTGATAGACCACCAGTAATTCCATTACGGAGAATGTGATAAGCTTCAACTGAATCTAAAGTCATTGGTAAATTATTTTTTAATGCATAATTTCTTAAATTGATTCTTAAACGTTGAACATCTTCATCTTTATTTGATTTTACGACATTGCAATAACAACACATTAACTGACAATTTTCTTTGGTATGTGGTTTTTCATTATCGATTCTATCTAATGTTGGTTTATTTGCATATGTAAACGCTTTACCACACATTTTACATTTAGATGAAAGGATTAAATCGTGATAGTATTGAAAATCATCCATTGAAACATTATTTTTAGTATCTCTTTCTGCTTTTTCATCTTGTTTCTTATATGATTCAATTTTATATTTCCAATACTTTTTCGTTAATTCAAAACTTGATTCTATCTCTTCCTCAGGATATTTTTCATTAGGATTAAAGTCTTTATATGCTAAAGCGTAACGAATCATTGATGCATTCGATGATAAAGAAAGATTATGAAGCATGTCAATTTTATAAACAAATGTTTCTTCAATAATTTTATCAATTGGGTCAATCATAATTTCAACATCTTTATTGCAATAATGAATAAAATATTCTAATCTATTCTTAAAATTTTTAGCATCATTGAGATATATTTGATAATCACTATCTGATATAGTTTCTTGAGTTAATGCTGAATAAAATGAATCTTTCGTGAATGGTTCCACTTTATATAATTCTTCTTCGTAATTTTCCCACGTGATGAATTGATAAGGGAAAAAGGATTTAACACGTGATTTATTGTTTCCGAAATCTGAGTGAATTGGTCTAATGTTCCACCCGCTATATAATTTCTGATGTCAATAAATCTTAATTCATATGGAACGTTTGTTTTCTTTACAATGATTTGCTTAAATTGTGAAGATGAACCCAGCATTGATTTTATTTTCCATTTTGCAGTGTTTAAATCACGAAGAATTAAATTTAAATCAAACTTTCCCGAATTAAAACCTATGATATTCACTTTATTGAATTCCTCATCTAGAAGTTCTTTAAATGCTTCCTTCTGTTTTTCATTTAATGTATGAGACTTCATTAATTCTTCATATTGTTCAATATTTGATTTAGCAACTAATGAACAGGTTGAAAATAAAAACTCAATCCAGTCAGAAATAAAAGAATCACTTGATGTTAAGCAAAAATTCCTCGTAAATGTTTTATCACGGTCTACGACCTCGCCGCTTTGCGGCTTTATTTTGACAGTTGATGATACCATGAATGGTTTTAAGTAAGCGTTCAAAGTTGCACACTCAGAAAGTTGTAATTCTTCTTTAGTCTCTAATGTTTCGAAGTCAAAAGTAATATAATATCTTGTCGGTTGATAATATTCCTGCAAATTATGAGCTAATAACCACTGATATATCTTCTGTTTCGTAATATGTGGTGCATATGGTTGTTGTGTGTTTTGCAATTGAACGTCTTGAATTAATCTTCCATTATTTTCTTTACATTTCTCACAATGTTTTAAAAATCTTCTTTGGTTTTTCCTTTCTGGATCATCACGGATAGAATATACTTCTTCTTTGCAAAAGGGACAAACTCTATAGCCGGTGAGTGCTTCAACGTCTGTTATTCTGTCAGCGTGAAGTTTTCCACATGGACTTGTGTTAATAAAATATTTATTGTTTCAAATTCTGGATCTATCATTATTGATTCCACTAATGGAAAGTCTACCTTGTTAATGTCTACGTCTTCTGGTTGAGGGTCACAATAATAGAAATCAATATTAACATTTAACATTCTGCTAATCTCTCACTTTCTGATGAAATGTCAAATCCTTCATATGCATCTATGGCTTCATTTAAATAACTTCTACGAGTTTTAGGATTAACACCATCAGGAATGTTATAGAAGCGTTTAAATAACCTTCTACCTTCTGCTCTTATTTGATTATCATTCATTTTGCTGTTCCATTTTTGTTCATTTATGTAAGAATAAAAATTAAAAAAATAAATAAAAATAAAGTTTATTTTTTTAAAGTCCGAGACTCAGAGAGTCCAGGGTTAAAGTCCATAAAATGAATTAAGAACACATAAATTTTTATCATCTGCGACGTGACGAATACATTTTAATTTACTCAAGAATGCGTACCCTGATACATTAAATCTAATTCCTGTCTTATTTAATTTCACAACTTTGAAAAGGAATGTATGAATAGCTATAAAATGATGAGATGATGTTTTATGGGTTGCTTCCATTTTTTCTGAAATAAATGAATAAATATAATGTTTATAAGTTTTCATATCTTTTATGTTCTTAATAACAAATGGTATAGACCTTTCCACTTCATCTTCCTTCGGTGCTGTTCTTTCATATGAAACATTATTGGTATCTTCAATAATGAAACCACAATCGCATAAAATTTTATATGTCCAATTGTTTCTTTTGATATTTTATCTAACAAATCAAAAACTTTATCAACACCTGTGCATTTATTTAAATAATAATTTGTGTAAATATCATGATCTTCTTTCTTAATCGTATTTGTTGCATATGTCACGTTTTTAAGAGCTTTTTTGAATTTCTCAGAATCGAGAGGGGTGAAAGTAGGATACAGGGTATTCTTCATTATCAATAAATTGTAACTTATGTTTACGAATAAATTTAGTACCTTCTTCTGAAAGTGTTTCGTCTATTTCACCATCTAATAAATTTTGTGTTGATTCTGAGACATAATTTTTATATCTTTCTTCATGAGATTTCTGTACTTCTGATTCTGAAGCTGGGATATTCATTAAACCCTCTACTTCATTTTCATTATATTTTTCAACTTCTCTTAATTCCTTAATTTTTTCATCTATTTCATCTCTTATTTTTTCCAGTCTTTCAATTTCATCATATTCATCATCTTTAATTCGTTCTTCATAATATTCAGGGAAAACATCAGGTTCTTTAGGTTTTTCTTCTTCAGATGTGGGATATAAGAAATTTATAACATCATCTTTATTCATTTTTCCATCATAATCTAAATCATTTAATAACTCGGCAAATTTTTGACAATTTCTTAAATAATATTTATTAACTTCATAACCCGCCTCCTCTAATATATCCTTTATTTCCTCGTTTGTGAATCCTAATTTTTTAACGTTGTTAGTTTTGACGCTCATTTCATACAAAATAAAAAAATAAAATAATAAACATAACTATGTTTTAATTTTTCGTAAGACATGAATTTTTAAAGTTTATTTTTTAAAAAAAATTTTATTTATTTCATTATGGTAGTGAATCTTTCATTCATGAAAATAAATATTTCTAATTTCTTTTACTCTCTCGTACATACTAGATTTAAAGAATTCAGAACATTTCCCATAATCTCCTAAATGTTTTCTTATCCCTAACGTGTGCCAGTTATTATATGAAACTGAATAAACTTTATCTTTATCTTTACACCTTTCATCACTTCCAATATATTTATATCTCAGTTTTGATTTAGCATTTTCATATTCATTAGCGTTTAATAATTCACAGTCTTCCTTTTTAAATTGATGTTTAAGATATTCAGGATTTAATACTCTACGTTTATATGCTCCTAACTTAGTTCTAAAGGTTTTTCTACAAAATTTAGGAATTCCATCCTCTTTAATGTCATCAATGATTTCCATTTCATTATTTTCAATTTCTTCTTCTCGTTTATGAGGTCTTTGATTATGACTCCATTGATTCCATGAAATTAAATATTCTTTATCATTATATTTATACCTCATTAGCTTATTTTGGCTTTCATATTCATTTAATAATTCACAATCTTCATTTTTAAATTGAAGTTTAACCCATTCAGGATTTAAACAATGTTTAATTAATCGCGGAATATCTGACATCATCTATATATAGCTTCTTTTATAAAAGATAAAAAAATAAATTATTTTAAAATTAATGTTAATTTATAAATAAATATATTTTAATGCATCGTCTATATATAGATGTAACAAAAAAAGTCACAAAACCCGTCATATCTACTACTACTCCATTGATTCCATTCAGGATTTAAACAATGTTTAATTAATCGCGGAATATCTGACATCATCTATATATAGCTTCTTTTATAAAAGATGAAATATATTATTTTAAAATTAATGTTAATTTTTTTAATGATTTATTTTTTTTTAAAAATTATTTTTTATTTCATTATGTATGGGCTGAGTGTAAATGTCTTACAATTTTGAAAATTTTTTAAATCTTGATTTATTCAAAAACGTAAGAATAAAAACCGTAAGAATCATACATTTTTTACTTCATATGTTAAAAAAATGATACAAAATCGCTCGATATTGTATGAATTCTTACGTTTACAAAAAAAGTCACAAAACCCGTCATATCCTACTACTTGTTAGTTAAATAAAATTTATCATTTATTAACCTTATCGCTAATACATATTCTTTAGTTACTGCTTAAATTTAAAATTTCAGATCAAAAAATAATACCGAGTGATGATAAAAAAATTCCACATTTTCTCCAAAAAAATTGTAAAAAGACTTGTTCATAAATACTCATATCATGGCTATTTCATATATTTTGTATGGTCAAATTCAATCGAATTGAAAGGATTGTCTTGGCTCAAAAAAAGAGTTATATTGTATTATTTCAATTTTTTGAAGTAATTTTAATGAAATACCGCATTAGAACTATTTCAAACGATGAAGCTGTCATCGAATTGGATGAGCAGTGCACTGTAAATGATCTACTACAAAAAGCGTGCGAATTACTTAATAGAGAAGCTTCAGAATCCGTTTTAATTTTTTCTTCAAATAAACTGACTAACTTGGATCAACCACTTAATCAAATAGGATATAAAGAGCAAAAAACTATCATATTGCACACAATTTCCCAAGAATCAAAGAAAATAAAATTATTAGCGTCCGTTGATCCTCAAAATCTAGAATCATCAGACCCTAACAAATCCAATCAAATTGATATTACAAAACAAGAAAGATTCTCAAAGGCATTAGAAAATATTACTGCGATGGGCTTTTCACCTGATAATGCTGAACAAGCGTTAAGGATTGCAGCAGGTAATCAAAACGAAGCGTTAAACATCATACTAAATCGAAGAGTGAGCCAACCACGACTCCTTCTCGAGAGACACATAGAAGAGAGCAGAATGAGGTCAGCCAGAAGGCGCAATGCGAAGAAGATCAGATTGTCCCCAGGAACACCTCATTCTTCGAGAGATCACGTTAATTTCATACCTGGATTCAAAATCGCCGAAAAAAGGAAGTTCAAGCCAGACGTTGAGAATTTATACATTGGGTTCATTAAAAACAACGAAAGAACAATGGAAGCTCTAACAAATGTAATCCAAGAACAAAGTCTCGATTTATTAGACTCAATACAACAAAATCCTTCACCTATGCTTACAATGCTTGGCCTTACAGTCCAGAGAAACGAAATTAATGGTATACAAACGACTCCTTACCTCGAAGTTTTCTCAGAGCCACTTATAAAGGCTATGGACTTGACTCCCGATGAAGTTCCTGTTATACAAAGACTTTTGTCCGTTGGAGCTCCTCTTTCTGTGACAATTAAAGTATATCGCTCAACAAACAACGATGAAGTCGTTGCAAGAAGGTATCTACGTGCTAACTTTATGCATAGAATGTGATTCTATTATTATTTAGATACTTTTCTGAAATTATTTATTTTTAATTTTAGCGGAATAATTGTTTAATCTAGAAGAAAACCATTTTATTTACAGGTACATTTTAAAACTATTTGAAGCGAAAATGGCCTGTTCGCGCAAATATTTTTGAATTTTGCCAATTTCCACAAATTAGTTGTTTTATTCTATGATCAATACGTGCAAAATTATTAGCTGTCGCATTTCCAAGCGAATCATCTTTATTTTATTGATCAAAATTTAGTTTTCCAAAAAAATAATTATTTATATAAATTAGAGTATAAAGTTTTTATTTTGTTTGTTTAATTCAAACCATTTTTAAAAATTACTTTGTAATTAATCCCAAAACTCTAAATTAGAGTGATTAAATCCAGTTATCAGAAATTTGAAATTGTTGAAATTATATTTTAACTTAACCGCATGAGGTGAAATACAGATGACCATATGCAGAGTGAATGATAATGGATTTGGAATTTTCTGGTATGGTAAAAGTTCTGGCTCAATCACTCAAACAAAGTTCGCCAACAACAAAAAGTGGGCTGTTTATTTGCAGAAAGGAAAGGTGAAAATTACTTAGAATATTGTCGCAGAGCACGAAATGAATGACAATAAGATAGAAGAAAAGGCAGATGCTGATGTTGATGGCAACGAATTCAAGAGAAATGACCAAGATATTAATCGTAAATGATTTATTTATTAATTTTTTATTATTAAAATATAAAATTAATATTTAATTTCACAGGAATATTGATAAATTTTGTTAGTGAATATTAACTATAACTATAAGTTTTTCAATGGATTGTCATACTGCAACTATCAGATGAGATTATTCACAGAAAAAAGGAGTTGAGAAAATTAAGTTTCTTATTTATTTTTCAATAGCCAGATAATTACCACTTTTTTGGTCGGACATTTAAGTTTAAAGAGTTGGACATGCATTTCATTTTAAGGATTTTTGCAGTTTGTTGGCTATTATGTTGGACTGCAAGATGAAGAGGGGTACATCCATCTTCATCTTCAGCGTTAGCATTGATATCTGCACCATTTGAAATAAGAATTTCTGCAGTTTCTTTACAATCATGTATAGCTGCTAGATGAAGAAGGGTCCATCCATCTTTGTCTTTAGCATTGATATCTGCGCCATTCGAAATGAGAATTTCTGCAGTTTTTTACAATTATGCATGGCTGCATAATGAAAAGAGGTCCATAATTGATAGTCTTTAGCATTGATATCTGCATCATTTGAAATAAGAATTTCTGCAGTTTCTTTGCTATTATATCTGGCTGCACAATGAAGAGAAGTCCATCCATGATAGTCTTTAGCATTGATATCTGCATCATTTGAAATAAGAATTTCTGCAATTTCTTTGCTATTATATTTGGCTGCACAATGAAGAGGTGTCCATCCATCTTTGTCTTTATCATTGATATCTGCACCATTTGAAATAAGAATTTCTGCAATTTCTTTCCTATTTTCTCTGGCTGCATAATGAAGAGGGGTAAATCCATCTTCAGTTTTAGCATTGATATCTGCACCATTTGAAATAAGAATTTCTGCAAATTCTTTGCTATTATCACGGGCTGCATGATGAAGAAGGGTCCATTCATCTTCGTCTTTTTCATTGACATCTGCACCATTTAAAATATGATATTCTAAAAGTAATGAAAGAAGGAAATTCGGAGAATAAACAAAACCTGTGTTATTATTATTTGTTTGATCCAAATAAACTAAAAATGATTGAAGATTGTTGTGTTTACAGCACAATTTTAAATTAATTTTGATGTTGTGTTCATTCTTCAAAAATGTAACAAAATCAATATTGTGTGAAATAATTGCATATTCCATGCATTCATCATCTGGTTTTTGTACTTTCAAGCATTCATTTATAATTTCTTGATTTCCACCCAAAAACGAATATCTAAGACAATTTGGAGTGATTTCTGATTGAAATTTCGTTCTTAAAAACTTAAAACAATCAACAGATCCATGATAACAACATAATTCAAGTAACGAAATACCACTTTCTGAATATGGATATAATTCACTTTTTAATTTTTGATTTTTATCAAATCCTTCTCCTTCTGTAAAAGTTACCAATGCAATTTTGTCATCATCCATAATAGATCTGTGAAGTGTTTTTTGCTCGTGAATATCAGATGAATAATGAGAATCTTCAAAATCGTTAAAAATTTTTTGCATCGTTTTCATTCAATACTATACTGTATTCTTTGTAGAAAAGGTAATTAAAAACTCTGCTGATTTCGTTGACCTGATTAAGTTGGTATTCGTCAACAATTTGTTTGGCAATCGCTAAATATGACTTCATGAAGCGGTTGTTATAAATTGAAAGTTTGGATATATCATTGATAATGTCACCAGGCGAATTTTTAAAAGAATCAATAAGATTTTGTTTGACTTTTTTGTAAATTGAGTTTAATTCTTCTTCGTCATTTGTTTTCAGCCTGTACAAAGCATTGTAGATATCACTATATACTGTAAAAAACTCCATCACTTGGTTATACTGAGCTTGGGTAATTTCTTCCTCTGACATCAACAAAAAATTTTAGATGTCGTAATTTTACATAAATTTCTCCTTTGAACATCAACCAAATGCTGTTTTTGGCATTAAAAGCAAAAATGCATTTTTATCAGACTTCACAAGTAAAGATACCATTTGGAGAATAATCTTCCTTAATTCTAAAATATTTTTCACAATATCTAATTCAATTGAAGCTAAGTTTGTTCCCATATTTAATATATATAGAGAATACTTATCATTCAATTAAGCATTGTCCAAAAATATCTTCTCTATAAGTAATAATTAAATTGCTTAAACCCATTTTCCTTCATAAAGTCTCACTATTGTTTTTCTACCTCAATATTGAGTAAATCTCTATCAAAAATTCGAATAAGAGACTTTACGAAGGAAGGGGAGTTTAATTCTCGATTTTTTTTTAGATTCAAAAGGAATTCTACCCTCATTTTTGAGTATTAGCTCAAAGCAAGAAGAAATTTCTATACACAAATTTCTTAAACATCGAAATGAGATTTTAATATCCATTTATTCTAATAAAATTCTCAATTTAATCATGTATCCAGTTAGTCATACCTCATTGTCCCATTGACTTATATCGAATATATCTACTGCGGAACAATTTTGAAAGATTTCCCAAACAAAACTTTGTAGTTGGAGAAGGTGTTTTGAATTAATATAAAGTTTCTCTCAATTATTTATTCTAATAAAAATGTCACGGTTTAATAAAAAAAAAGATATTTTCATTTATTTCTTCTTTGAACTAGCTTTATCGCCTTGTCTAGTTGGGCAAACAGCATCAAGCTGAGCTTCCATCTTTTGAAGGCGTTCATATTGATCCTTGACCTGGTTAGATCTGATTCCCCAAATTGAAGGTTCTACATCGAAAATATTAAACTTCTTTGAAAGATTCTTACGTAAGAATTCATCATAGCGTAATTTATCACGTACAACTTTGGCACAAAGCATGGCCTTTACGTCTGTCATTTGTTCTTTCATTTTATCTATAGCGGCATTGACCTGGTGGTTGCGCTCCATGGTCGAGTTAAGCAGGAACTGTGACTTAAAGTGCTCATTGTCACCATTCATCGTCTGTTCTCTGAAATAATCGTCCGTTTGCTTTGGAACGGAGTTGTAGAAGCCATTCATCTTCTGGAAGTGCTTCTCCAGCTGCTTGTTTACTTCTGTAGTTGTCTTGTCGACGTAATCGCGAACATTATTCTGAATCGTAGCTAGAACTGTTCTATCGCATGGCGTTCTTGAGGATGTAATCTTATGCTCGATCTTTTTCATGCGGTCGTTGTGGATATCGAAATCTCTTGATAATTGTTCGATTTGCTGTTTTTGCTTGGAAATGGTCTCTCTGATCTCTGAGACCTCCTTGGAATAGTCCGATTGGATATCTTCTGTAAGGCTGTTCTGATGGATCATATTCTTTACGCGAAAAACGTCTAAATTAATTTTTTGTCTGATTTCTTCATTTTGAAGCTGAAGTCTGGCCTTATTTGTAACTGCTGATAACGAAGCAGCTGTAAAGAAGTTAATATTCATCTGATGAACGTTCTTTGTCTCGAATATTGAGGCAATTTGGTCATCTGTAAGAAGAGAAAAGTCAAGACGAAGCATAAGAGGTACTGCGTTTGTAGGATTTGTCTTGAATAAGTCTAAAACGAAATCATTGAAAATTTGCTGATCAAGATATTTTCGATCGGCAATTGCGAGAATTTGATAGATAACTTCGGGTGGAAGTGTCTTAAATGGCTCCTCATTCATGTATCTGTTAATATCGAATGCTACATTTGTCCAATCTTCCTTTGTATCTGAATCTGTTTTAACCTTTTCGACTAAAATATTAAGATAATTCTTTCTATCCTCTTGTATTTCATTCTTCTTAATATACTCATCAACATATTCGTAAAGAGAAGGAACTTCCCATTTCCTGGCAAGTTTCAATAAATCATGCGCGTTTTTCTTTGTAATATCGTAATGCTGGAACTGGCAAGCAGCTAAGAATGCTTTAAATGTGTCTTCGTCCATGACATCTGTGATTGTTTGTTGATTTTGCTTGTCTTCATCTTCTAAATCTCGAGCGAATTTGTTTGAAAGCTTCTTGAAGAGTTCTGCATCAACAGTGTAGCGTTTCTCGTTCCACCAAAACACATAAGGCACTTTCGGGAGCTGACTTTGTTGAGTACTCATTTAAATATCCGAATTGCAAAGTGTAAACCGTTATGTAACGTCAGCGCTATAACTGCTTTTTTTTGTAAGAACATCAACACGCTGTTTTATTGCTGATATATAATGCTTGTGATGTGACTATCATATTCAATGGGAATATGTCCGCAGATTTACTAGTTTTGTAAATCCTCAAATTTATATCTTTTAAATATGAATCAAATTCTCTTTCATATAATTTCCATTCAAACTAATAAGCATAAAGTTGAACGTGATCATGTGACTTGGAGTAATTAAATTAAATAAATCAATTAAAATCTCTTTATGGTTAGAAATATCTGAATGAGAGACTCACAAACTTAGGAATATAATACATGAAACTCTTGTTTAAGCTGATAAATTACTGTGGCAGATATGTCGAAATAATGAAGGTGCTAATGAAATCGGATACTCCCATCATAAATTTTACTTTCGCATATATGAAACTTGCAAATTCATAACTTCAAAATAGCATCGTATGCCATATGATTTGGATTCTTCATTCATTCAAATATGACTTACTCAATAACAAACAGTATTTTTTCCTAGCCAATAGATACTGCTACGCAATACAAGATTCAAAGTGTTTTAAAAACAAGAGCATAAAATTTGGTGCGTTGGAAAAATAAAAAATGGATGAAGAAGAGGATTTTTATGCTCCTCGACCTCCAATGATACAATCCAAGAACGCTCCTCGCAAGTGTAAACAAAGAAAAGAGAAAGTTCAGATTGCTCAGCCCGAAAATACTAATAATAATCGAGAATTTTTGGAATTAATTGAAGAGCTAAAAGCAACACCGAAATCGGAATATACTATAGATCCTGATATAATAGCAAAAGATATTATAAACGACAAAAGCTTTACTTCCGAAGATCCTCAGTTGATTAAAGATGTTACAGCATATGTTAAGTCATATTCCAAACAAATTAGTAATGATCAGCTTAAAAATTATCTAACAATGCTCGATGGACTACTTTTAGAAGCAGAAAAGATCCAATTCCAAAAAGATGAATTACAATTCTTAAAATTAGAAATAGAGTTTGCCAAAACCGACTACAAGATATTCAAACACTCTCAGCTTGGCAAAGAAACAGATTTAATGGAGAATTTGAAAACTCATATTGATTCAATAAAAGAACAACATGAAAACCAGCTTTCTCAGTGCGCATCAGAAGAATTAGAAGATTTAAAGGGTAAACAACAAAAAGAACTCGAAGAAGCCAAGAAATTGGCTCAGCAACAATTAGATGAATTTCATAAGTTTATAACTGCAGAACTCACCCCATATAAATCAAAATTACAAAGCTTGAAGCAACAATATCAGCTTGCTCAAGATAAAGATGCATTGTGGAACGTGAAACATCCTCCACAAATGAAAATGGCCAAAACTTCTAAGATTATTAAGCCTTTATAAATTGTTTTGTTTATGTTTATTATTTATGAAAAACTTTCATTTCATTATTTTTTTTTCCAAAATTTGATGGAAGATGTTTTTATTGAGCAAAGATTAAAAGCATCAAAAGCCCAAATGGAAGATGACTTGTTGAAACAATTAATGAAACCAAAGTTCTTCCAATCAATTTTGCTTTTTGGAAACGAAGATCAAAATCCAGAAGGAAATTCTGCAGATGCAGAATACATTTCGATACTCAGAGAACGACAGAAAATGCTACAATCCTATATTCCTGCTCCAGAATAGACTTCTTAAGTTTATTAACAATAATATTTTATTTTTTATCAACAGAAAACGTTGCAAATATGATAATTCTATCACACACAAAACTACATCCAAATTTTTATACAATAATTCTAAGGTTTCAATTAATTTTCCGAATATTTTATATTTCATTCCAAAATCCATGAATTCCAATAGCTTAACAAAACACTATTTGATTCAACCACGCTAATTAACTTAATAATTACAAACAGTTTTATTCTTAATTTACAAAATTGAATTTTCGTTTCCTAGTTGCTATTGCGGACCATACTATTTAGTTGAGATATTTCTTCTCTCATATGAGCAATAGCTTCTCTAATCAAAATTGATTTATCACCTATAACTAAACTATAATTAATTAAACTCTGATCAGCAGTAGTAGGATAAGTCTTGATCATGCGAAGTCTATTTTCTAGTCTATCAAGGTCGAATTCTAGAGTCATTGCACGCCTTCTTAAGTTTTCTTTCAAGGCGTCGTTGTATGAGCTCTTATTCTTGAATCTTTTACTTAACGCTTTCTGGCGTGCTTCATAAACATATATCTGTTTGTTTAAATCTGTTTGGATATCTTTTGAATTCTTTTTAATTTCTTGATATTCTTTCTTAAGACCATCGAGTTTTTCTATCAAAACATCTTGCTTTTGATCGTACTCATCCTGAGCTGCTTTTTTTGCATTTTTGAATTTTCTATTGAAACGAGCATGTTCATCTTCAACTTTGTGCTTTAATTCTTCAGCATGGATTGATAAATCATCAATTTTTCTTGATAAGTTCGCATCATTGGCTCTAGTATCAAATGTTACATCGATAAAATCTTGTAATGTCGAAACCATCATTTTGGATTCTTTTCGTATTGATTCATCAAATTTAAGCTCTTGATTGATACTACCTAATTCAAAATAAAAATCGGATGAATTATCACGAAATTGATCTGAGATAGATTTTATTTCTGTCAAAAGCTGTGCATCACCATCACTAGGTAAAATTGCTTCCATTCCTGTAACACCTTCTAATAATTTTACGTCTTCGGTGAGTTTGATTTCTTGGGCCGAAAGTCGAGTATTTTCTGAATGATATTCATCCAACAGAGCTCTTTCTTTATCAATTTGCATGTTACATGCTGCAATTGTTTCCTTAATATCTGATATTGCATTTTTTAATTGAAGAACTCTCCATTTTCTTCTATGAACATCTGCTAAACTCGGAAATGCATTTGTCATAACATCTAGCATCTCAGTTCTTCTCGTTTGAAAGCTAGAATTGATTTGTTCATAGTGCAGTGCAAAAGTCATTTTACAAAATAAACGTCTTTCAAAAAAATTTAGGTCGCCTTTTCTCGATGTTTTACTGGCGTGATTTGTCCATATCGTACTGATTTTGTATGCATACAGATTTGACTGTAGATATTCAAATATGGTCAGAATACTTTTAAATAGGAGCGTAATAGTATGCACAATTAAGTATCAGAGTCATGATTTCTTTGTAGAAGAAGTGACGTGACTTAAAGAGAATCAAATAAACATATCCCTCTATTATAAACATGGTGTTTAATTATGCACATTACTTTTATAATGTTTTTACGAGAGCTATGATAGACTTCTAGAAATGTCTAGCAGACTTATTGAATAATTATAATTTTCCATAATTTTAACGAGAGTAATGATAAACTTCCTGAAGCAATTAGTATATTTGGAAAGATATCTATTATTCAAACACTCAAAAATAATTATTTATCTTCGAATTTCTCAATACCTGTTCATCGCTGATATCGAATTTGATCTTTTATCACAATTTCAATTATTCAATCCTACACAATAACTCACTCCAATTCCTCAATTTCTTATTTTCTTTCGATTTTGTAATTTCCTCATTATCTGGAGCTAACCAATGATTCATATTCTCACATTTCTAAATTTTATTGAATCGTTGATTATAAATTTGGCATTTATTAATGAATATATATATTCATAACTATAGATTTAGACATCATGGTTGGTTTAATAAGTTGGTGTTTTCAACGCGAGTGAAAACTCTGAATTTTGGAGAATCAGAACTATTATTTGATCGGATCTGATTTGAATTATCTATTATCTTTGTCAATTTATTGTTTTCTTGTTTTAGTGGTTCTGTTTCTTGTTTTGAGATTTCTGCATCTTTTTTCAATTTATTTATTACTTGTTTTGAGATTTCTGCATCTTTTATCAATTGATTTATTTTTTGTTTAGATTCTTCTAATTCTCTTTTAAGTTTGTTGTTTTCTTGTTTTGAGAGTTCTTCATTATTTCTCAATTTATCTATTTCTTGCTTTGCATTTTGATGCTCAGTTCCAACTGTTGGAAGTAGTGAGACCATATATTTAGTAATTGATTCATTAATAAAATCATTTTTGCTCTCACAATTAAAATAGCAATTTAAAATTCTGATTTTTGTGGCAAAGATTAATTTTGAATAATCGATTAAAAGAATCAAGCTGAAATAGGATGGATTACTTTCGATTAATGATGCAATAAATTCATTGCAATCTATTGATTGCTTAAGACATGATTTAATTATCATTTCTGCGAAATCATATCCTAAATAGTTACTAAATTTGTTATTCCGATATTATTGATATTTTGTGAAACGAATGTAATAAATTCATCTTTTACATCATAGTATTTGAAATAAATAACGTTCTTAGTGAAGTTATCCAATGAATATTTAGAAAGTTCGAAACTTTCATGGTAAAATTCAATTAAGTCTGGGCATTCGATAGCAATGGCAAATTCAAACAAGTCTATAATAATGCTATCTGACAAATCCTTGTTCATCAATTTCCCATTAAATAATTCGCCAAGAATTTCATATGTTTTCTGATCTTTGATGCAACAATTGAAGCTAAAATTATCGGGGTTATCATCAAGGTATAAACTATTTTCAACTTTATTGCTAATTGCGGAAAGAAAGAAAATTGTTGAAGTAAATTCATTATTGTTAATGAAAACAGTGACTGATCGATTACAATTCTTATTTTGTTTCGCCAAATTCTCGAATGCTTGCTTCCATTGGATAATGGGCATTGTATTAAAAAAATTCCACTATTCAATTTTTTGATGGTTTTTTAAAATTATTTTTGTCACTTCACAAAAGTTATGAATTCAAGTAAAGTAGAATATATGTGGCATTTGGTATATAAACGTTGGTTAAAAGGCCCGTAAACTAGTTTAATTCACCAATTGCATACTGCTACTTGGAAAATTTTCAATTTTGAGGTATCTCATTAAAAATTTGTCAAGTATATATGCGTTGAATGTGGTTTGGAGTCCAAAAGTATCTTATCATCCATATTTGGATACAGTTGATTCTATTTATCTTATTTATTCGAAAATTAATCGATTAGATCATTCATAGGACTATCTTTTTATATTAAACAGAAATTGAGATAAATTGTGGCATTTTTGACAATTTGAAACAAATGTTCTTGTTGCTCTTCTATTTATTAGAGAAAAGAGCAGCTTCCTCAGTAAGGCAACTAAAGAGTTGGAAACTTACAGATGAAAAGCGATCTGGTTTTAATAGAAGGATTTCATTAAAAATGGTTGGAACAAAAGTATCTTAAATAAAGAATCAGGAAAAGTAAAGCTTGCAGATGGAAGATTTGCGTATGTTGGTGAAGATCGTTATTTGCGAATTATAGCCTATCAAGATATGATTTTTTTTAAATAGAATTAATGGATTGAATACTCCATTGTCATTCCTTCTCATTTTTGGAAATGTTCTATCTTATCATATAAAAGAGTTTTGGATTAAATATCCTCTAATATAATACTCGATTGAATTAATTTGACAAATATTTCTTTTTGTTCGAATAATCTATTTAAAGTTTTTTATCTATAGTGTGAAGAAAATTGCTTACTACGATTCTTTGGTTCAAACAATCGAATTTTAAATGAGATAATCGGCTGAATTAAGTAAATATAAGTCAAAATAATTAAACATATAAACCCAACAGCTTCTCATTATTTATTTGGAAATATAATTATCTGTAGAAACAAAAAATATAATAAAATTTAGAAAGTAGTGATTTAATGACAGTGCTAATACCCGAAACTATATGAATTAGGATGCTGATCATTTTCAGGCGATCTAGTATAATTTTTTCAAAATTTTACAATACAATGTTTGATTTTAAACAAGTAATACACCGAAACATAGTGGGTTATGCATAAAGTCGATGCCCAATTAAACGCATTCTATAACATCTAATTTTTGTGAAACTAATTGAGCATTTTTCTGTAAAACCACGATTCGATCAGCCATCTTTTGCAATCTCTCGGATATCAACTCCATTTGATTTTCCAAATCTTGTTCAAAGTGATTTTCTTGTAAATTAAGATCACCAGTTGAAATACTCGTAACAATTGCAGCTGGAGAAGCAGGAGTGGGTGCTTTAGCAGCTTGTTGAACAGGTTCTTCTTTTGGAACTTCTGTTTGTGGAACTGGCGCTGGATTTACTGGTGGAACAGGATTTATCAAATTTTCTACTTGAATTGGAATTGGTTCTGATTCTTGAACAGGTAGACCTATAGGAACTGTTTGTTGTACATTATCTTCTGGAGCATTTTGAGCTTGGTTTTCAGTGGTTTCAGTCATTTTTTAAATTTTTTTTTCTCAGTTCGAATAAATTGAACAGGTTTGTTTGAATTTTTAATGACGAAATATTCATTAAACGTAGAGAGCCTTTTGCCAAATGGGAATGTCGATTATGACTTTACACTAATTATCAATGATAAGAAATACATGATCAATTCGCTTATCGCGTCAACTCACTCAAAGAAATTATTTAATTTGTTTTTCGAAGATCCAATAGCAACTGAATGCTCAATAAAAGGTCCAAATGGAGATTATGGCGAAGTAATTAATTTCTTAAATGGAAACAAGATAAATCCTTCACCTTACAACGCAATTTTCCTTTTTTCTGTTTCAAACATACTTCAATCCACAGATTTATTTGAAATTGTCCGAGATTCGCTCACAGAACCATTGGATCCTACAGATGCATTGAATTTATGCCAGGAATCTTTTCAAAATCAAATGGATTGTGAATATTTTGCCAAAATTGTTGCATTATCATTTAATTCAATGGTGAGCAGCAATAAATTACCATCAAACATCGATCATTCCATTCTTGACATCATTTTACAGAATTGTACTCCTGATAACGATATCGATCCAACTTTACTTAAAAATTACCTAGATTCAACTACCAATATCATCGATAATCCAAATGACAGACTCCTGAGCTTATATCCGTTCTCAATCTGCACAATTGAACAAATCAACACTTTACTCAACACGAAAGGCTTTAATATCAACAAAGTTAAAGACACATTGCTCAAGAGAACACTGACATCAAATTGCAGGGTCGATAACTTCTCAATTTATTCACCAATTCCAGGAAAATTATTAGAAGGCATAATTCATCTTTTCCAGACACCAGAAGTCACATGTTCATCATCCTACAAAGAAGGATATGATCCTACAGTACTTCTTGAGAAAGAAGATCCTTCTTCTCCGAGTAAAAAATATTATTGCAGCAAAGGTGGTCCGAATGAATGGATTCAGTTCAAATTTAATAGCTATGGCATCAATGTGACCAAATACGCTATTAAAAGCTGGTACGGAGCTAGTAATAAAGTTTCTCCTTCATCTTGGGTTTTATACGGAAGGGAAGGCGATTCTGACTGGGAAATAATTGATAGCAGGGACGACCAGACATGTCTGTGCCAGGATGGCCACGAAGAAGTGTTTGATGTAACTGAAAATAAGAATTTCTACACATCAATCAAACTTGAGCAGCTTAAGACATATAACCAACGTAACAAAGTATTTGCTATTGCTGGATTCGAATTATTCGGAAAAGTTAAGCATTTGTAATTTTTTTTTATATTAAAAATTTCTATTTTTTGTTTGAAATACTTTATTTTTATTGAACAATTCCTATACATTAAAATAAAATGATTCTTAACCCTATTATATCAATTTTAAAATTTCCAATTAAGGATTTCCATATTTGAAAACATAGACATTGAACCACACATGATGCAGTTAATTTTTATTCTATTGATTCTTGTCATCTGATAAACTTAAAAAAATGTATTGATATGTAAATACTTTTCTACATGGACTACAGCTTATTTCTGATATATTTGATCGAACAAAATCAAAACTATATATCCGAGATACAGGAAACAAAAAATTAATATTCAAACTGGAATAACATTTGAAGATTAAAAGAAAGCCACTATATATACATATATTTTGTTGAAAAAGTAAGACAGAAATCTGTGCGAAAAAAAATTGTTTATTTTTTTGATTGAATCAAGCAGATGAATGATATAAATTTTGAAGACATTAAGGAACTGACTAAAGATTATTATGAAACCATCAATGCGATATACAAATTAAACGCACGCACAGATGAAGAAATCGAAAGGATATACAAAGATATCAAGTTCATATTGATTAAAACAAAGCTATACACACCTTCTCAGATTCTTACAATGTTATCACAAGCGGGGATTTGCAATAATCGTTACTTTAAGTCATATTAGATTTTATTTAAAAAGATTTATGAAGAATTTCATCCAACAGAGTTCAAAAACATCACACTTATTTTCATTTACTTTGCTTATAAAGAATATGGAATTATTTTTGATACACCCGAAAAATTCAATTCCAAAATTTATAGATTACATCCATCTTTTCCAAAGTCCGTGACTTTTGAAGAATTTCATCAGATTAAATTAGATTTTCTTGATCGATTAAATTATTCAATTGAAAGTATCGAACAAGACCCGATATGCAGAACTATAATGAACGATGATGTAAAATCATTGATTTCATTAATTAAAGATAAAGAAATACCAAAGTTCGTAAACTTTTTCTTTCCAACGGAAGATAAAATTACCTATCTTGAAATTTCTTCTTATTATGGTGCAATTAAATGTTTTAAGTATATAATATCAAAATATTACCAAGAACCATCCGAAAATACTTTATACTTTTCATTTTTGGGTGGAAACACTGATATTATTAAAAAATGCTTGATGAAATTGTCACGTTGCTATAGTATGGACTACAAACGTATGTCGGTAAAATCAATGGAATTCGCAATTCTTTCACACAACATTGATTTGGTGGATTACTTGATAAAAGAACACAACATTCAATTGATCTAAATGGATGCATTCAAATTCATAATATTCAAGCATATTTGCTTAATTTATATTATTCAAATGATATCAAGAAAACCTTTGTTATTTGCCCAGCATTCAATTTTCCATCCCTTTGTGAATATTTCATTTCACATGGTATTGATGTCAATTCAATTGATGAACGCAGAAAAACAGCTCTTCATATTGCTGCAGAAACAAATTCAATAGAAATTGCAGAGATTCTTATTTCACACGGAGCAGATATCAATGCAAAGGATTGCAATAAAAAACAGCACTACACATTGTAACAATTTGCAATAATATAAAAATGGCAGAATCCCTTATTACTCATGGAGCTGATATCAATGCAAAGGATAACAGTGATTCTACAGCTCTCCATATTGCAGCAAATGGCAGGAAAGAAATGATAGAGCTGCTTATATCTCATGGAGCAGATGTCAATGCAAAAATATATGGAAAAACGGCTCTTCACATCGCAACATATTTTAAAAATAAAGAGATTGCAGAATTACTTATATCACAAGGAATTGATATTAATGCAAACGATAATGAAGGACTAACAGCACTAAGTGTTGCCTGCCAAAAAGGTTCAAAAGACATCGTAGATATTCTTTTATCTCATGGAGCAGATATTAATTCAAGTTCACCTCTTCTTTCTGCAATGAATTGTCGTCATGATGAATTAGCAAAGTTACTTATTTCGCTTGGGGCGAATGTCAATGAAAAAGATCATACTGGAAATTCTCCTCTTCATTTAGCTGTTCAATTTAAAATGACAGAAGTAGCAAATCTTCTCATTAAACATGGAGCAGATATCAATTCAATAAATGATAGAGATCAAACTCCTCTTTTTTTAGCTATATGTAGCAATAATGTTGAAATAGCAAAGCTTCTCATTTCATCTGGAGCAGATTATAATGCTCGAAATGAATCAGGATTTCCTGTATTTCATATTGCAGCACATATTGAAATGATTGAATTTCTTTATTCGCTTGGGGTTGATTTCACTGTTAAATATTGGCATGGAAATACTATTCTTCATAAATTGATGAGATTTGGTAATAGAGAAAAAGAAATAGAATTCCTTATTTCACATGGCGTTGATGTCAATTCAGAAGATTATCAAGGAGAAACAGCTCTCCATCTTGCAACAGATAACTGTTTTGCATCAAATGTGCAATCTCTCATTTCAAATGGAGCAAAAATAAATGCCAGAGATAAAAATGGAAACACTCCTCTTCATATCGCAGCAGAGAGATATAGAGGTCATGTTACATATATTCTTCTTAACAATGGAGCTGATGTAAATGCCAAGAATAGAGAAGGAAAAACACCACTTCATATTGCCGCATTGGAAAATAATGTCGATTTAGCAAAAACTCTAATTGTATATGAAGCAGATATCAATGCCAGTGATTGTTATGGCTTTACTCCTCTTATCATAGCTCAAAGACATCACTGCCAAAAAATGATAAAATTTCTTAAACATTACATATCATGGGGTTATTGAAAACCAGGTTTGTTCGAGAATCTTTCTAACAGTACTATATTCCAATTTAAATTTTTAAACTTCTATTAATTAATTATGTAAATTTTTTCCCCATCAAAATTTGAAACATACAAATTTAATCATCATCTCTAATTGGGATATGGTTCCATCTTTACCATGATATTTTTATTTATTTATTATTCAAACCAAGTATTCTTTATGATATGAGTGACCAAAACCCAAGATATAAAATAGATAAATAGTTTTGAGTATAATGACTACAATTTGTGCAAACAAACTTTATTTTCTCGATGCACGTATTGTTGTTCTTGACAAATGTATAGGGATAGTACTCAACGATCTCGATATAGCCGTCATTCGAGTGACCAACTTCTCGAACTGAATCTGGAGAGTCAAATGCCTTGTCACCTCCTAAAAGGATGACATTATATAGGTCTGGTGATGCATAGCTGCTCCCACCACCCCCTCCACCTAAATCAGCACCTCCACCACCACCGAAATAACCAATTCCCCCACCGCCCGCTGAACCGCCGGCGGTGGAAACGGCATTTCCTCCTTTCAAATACTCTCCACTATATGCTTCACACGGGATATTTTTACTATTCCAAAGGTCGCCGGAATAGTAACCTCCTTTTCCTGGATGAAAAGTTGTGGCTCCTTTTCCTCTAACTTTCTTTGCTTCGTCAGCTAATACGTCATATGCTTGGCCTACACCATCGCCTGCATAAGGACCGCCAAAACCGCCGATAAATTCAATGTTTTTCTTTTCATAAAATCCAGATCCGCCCCCAGCACCCGAGATCAGCAAGATATCTTCCCCATTCTTGTCCCACGAAATGAATGTGGCAGATCCTCCAGTGCAACTGATATCATTGTCCTTGCCTTTGGAGTTACTTCCGCCATTAAATTTTAGGGTTTCAATGACATCATAACTGCAGGAACCTTTTTGACCAACAAAGGAGTACAATTTGACGCTATTATTGGTAATAAAAAAACCCTCAGAGTATGCGCCTTTACCCCCGGCGTTATTTCTGAAATAGCCACCCTGTGCACCCCAAATCCGAAATAGCCAGGATCCATTTGGAAAACTAAACTCAATTGGCTCGAAATTTTGTGTGGGTTGATCGAATATCATAAATTTACTAGATTATAATTTTCCTTCTATGAATTTCATCTTTGCTCTGGTGGGCCTTTTCTTCTTTGAGATCGAAGATACAATGAATGGAGACTTGGTTGTAAGTAAATGATGGAATAAAGGAGAATTTTAAAACTTTTTTTTGAATGTATTGACGACTCAAATTATGCAGGTCACAATTAATTACTTTGTTGATTTCAAATTTGAGTGATTTATTTGTTGGGATAAATGGGATATTGAGTACTTCAAGGACAATCCAATTGCATGCTAATTCTTTACTCAAGATAGCAGGATCCGACATTCCATTAAATGAATGTATTTCAAAGTTGGGACGTTTTTAACCTTAAACTCTAAAAAAAATCAATGGTTATTTTTTGGCTTCATAACTCGATATACCATTTGAATTTAGCCAAGATTCGAGTGCTTGAAAAACACTAGTATACATGTTTAATGCATACATTAAATTTTCCAAAAAAGAACATATTTTGTTTCACGAATTTAAATTTAAAATATGCTCAAATTGAATTAAAATTTTAAGGATACCCTTACGTGTCAGATTTTTTGCGCATACGAAGAAGTCATGCTAGACATGAGCTATAAACCTGAAATTTTAGCAACATATTTAAAACTTTTTAAACTACAATACACTTTAATATTCAAGAACAAAAATATTCTTTTTAGAAATTACATAATTATTTTATGTGAAATCTATATAAAAACATATTTTGCGAGCGTAACTTTTTTCTTTATAAGCACCTTATATGACTGATAAACTGTGAAGGCACATAATTGTTAATTCATAGAGTTGATATGTTTCCAAAATTGAGAGGAAATTTGAAAATTGAATACCCTTTCAATTCAATTTTCAAAAGATATCAGCTCCTTCAATAATTGAAGGACGATTTTGATCATTTGCTCTTAAAACAAGTATGCCATGGAGAAAAAAGTTACGCTCGCAAATCTGAAATATAACTATCATATAAAAAAATTAAATTTCTAATTTTTTACTCTATAGATATTATTGGCCACTTGTGTAATGCATAAAAGTTTATGTCATATGCATACATTTGGAAGTATGGGAGACGAGGGAAATTACTTCTATGAGGCACTAGGATTTTTAAAAATTTCTCTATCGGACTCACCATTCAATTTCTCGAAAATTAAAAAAAATCAATAATAGCTAAAATGTATTATGCATAACAAATTTTAATGTTACACGGTATTTTTTGAACTTCATGACATGAATTTTCTTTATATTATTTTTTTTTTGGATTTTCTATGATTTATGCGATAGGCTGGAACAACATTGTAAGTGCAATGATATCATTTATAGAGAAATCTAAAACTTCAGCATTCAGAACTCGCAACCACAAAAATATTCATTTGCTAAGTAAGTAAAGTTGATTAAGTTCGACACTTAGCTTTTATACGTAAAACCAAGTGTGTATTGTTATTTCTTGTTAAATTATTGAGAAAAAAATAAATTGTAAGAGAAACGATACTGATTATTGAAATAATATTGAGGGTAGCTGCAGATTTCTTCATTAACATGCCGGAAATTTGTTAATCTTGGTTTTCTATCATAAAATCTGTCGAAGAATCTAAAAACGGAGATATGAAATAGAGATCATGTAAATCTAGAGTATCCTGTCAGAAAAATAGACTAAGCATGTAACCCTTTTTTGGTCATAAACACTTTTTACCACTTAGTCATACAGATGATCATTAAATTTAAACGAGCACTTTTTGTCAGAATTTATTCTTTTACAAAGACAGAAGATTTTAGTATTATTTAATATTAGTGCTGTAGCAAAATTCAAAAAACGGTGAAAATTCAGTGAATTTGTGAATTCACATTTTTTTTCGACATTTTTCTTGATATATCCATGCACATTAAGAACACAGCTTTGATACGCTTAAAAAAGCATATTTCATATGAAATTGTTAAAGAAATAAACAATTTATATAAAAATTGCACTTATGGGCAGTTTAGATATATAATTTATATATAACATATATACAAATCCATAGACAAAGTGCAATAACTACAATGTTGTAGAAAATTACAGCAGAAATACTGACTTTTTGAAGGATAATAAGAATTCTTCTAAAAATACTGAAAATTAACATATTTCTGTACTCAATTTAGTATATGCACAGAAGTTATGATTTGGTGTTAGGTTTTTATGCCCCAAAATCTAGATTTTTGTGACATCAAATCTTATTAGTGGATAAATCAAAGACTGTCATTTTGAAATAAGCTCATATCAATAAATATCCATTTAAAAGCCTTATTGTAATATGTAACTAGCAAAAAGCCTAATATTTATCAAAATTAATCAAATCAAATGATCAATATTCATGATATGTCATCAGCAATAGCTAATTGATATTTTATTTTGTATTGATATTCATTTTTCTCATATTATACACGATTATATCTCTTTTTTTAAAAAAAGTTTTTATATTAGACATGAAAGTTGAATTAATACAATTTTGTACTAGAGTTTGTTTGTATATTAAATAATAATGATATATACTTCAACATATTGCGTCTCACCATTACCAAAATGTAATTTTGCATACAATTTTCTTTCATTTAACAATGATGTTATTTGAAAAGTGATACTTCCATGATTATTGATTAATGTTCCATCATATATAGGAATGAATGTTAAACAAGACACGCCTGCAGCTGGGTGCATTCGTGGCATTGTGATAAGGCTTATATATAAAGACTTCTCTCGATCAGCATTACGTCAAATGAATATTGACCCATTATTTTGGCGATGCGCTAGTTCCAAGTAGAAATGCTTTGGTATATTTAGGTTATGTCTATATGTTATGAATCATGGTATTATTGATAAAAACGTTCTTAGTCATTAAATCAATCCTAGTATCTAAAGATATAATTTAGATTTTTTTGTTTATTGCTAAAATTAAATACAGTATAACTTTCTTTCATATTGTCGGTACTAACAATACAAGATTGTGTTGAAAAAAACTTAAATATGCATGAAAATTAAATTTAATGTGTAAATATGATAAAAATTTCAACTTTACTAATAACATACATAAGTTTCTGATAGTTTAATATAGTTCATATTGATGTGACTGTAAACTATATCAAAAAAATATTTTTAAATATTGTTATGCAAATAATGGGATTTCTAAGGAAAAAATGATTATATTTGTTATATAAAGCAATCTTTTTAATTATTCACTACGTTTATTACATTTTTTGCCGACCATTTACGTAATATGCCTCCACCAAGCAGACGCAAACAACAAAGTCGTGAAGCTAACGAAAAATCAATTGAAGCAAGAAAAAACTCCCAAGAAAAGAATGCGCCAAAGGAAGTCGATCCAAAACACTGGACTGCTTCTGTAATTGTTAATGGTGACTCTTATACTCGAGCAAGGAATTTATTTCAAGATAACAATATTAAAGTGCCGAGTGAAAAAGAGTTTTACCGTCATCAAAAAGAAATAGGTAAGGTAATACTAGAATATAAAGAGCAATCTATTAAAAATGCTCAACAAACAATGAAGAAAGATACATTTTTAAGCACTGATTCGCATTATAATGTTGGCAGAAATGCTACAGCGTGCCAAAGTTTAATGATGGACAACCGTGGAAAAGTTGTTGGTGAAACAACTGTTATAAAAAAGAGCTCTGGAGGAGACTTTGAAGGCCCATCCAACATGATGGAAACAGAATGTACAAAGAGGATGATGTCAAATTTTGACTTTACAAATGTTTCCACAGTGGTTCATGACAATGACAATAAAACGAAAGCCATCATCCAGCAATATGCTCCGAATGCTAAAATTACACTTGATCCTCGTCATTGTGTACGTGCAGTTGGCAGAGCTTTCGAAAAGCTTGAAAATGGTGGATATAAAGAAGCAGCAGGAAAAGAAACTGTTAATCAACAGAAAGAAAGTGAATCACAGCCAGCATTCCCAATCAAATCTAAAGCAGAAGAGCCGAAGAAACGTGGAAGACCATTAAAACACCAAGAAAAAGTATTTCATCAGATATATTCGAAAGTTATTAAGTGGTTCACTTTTATTATCATGCTTCCAATTGAAACAACGAAAAAAATTTTCCTATGGAAGAATACATTAAATCATTTTATCGGAAGGCATGAAAATTGCCTTCACGAAAAAGACAAAGAATATCCTGTGTTTCAGCCACTTACAAAACCTGATTTAGCGAAGCAATTTCAACGTTTTACAGATGATGCCGCAAAGTTGATTCCAGAAATTGATCCTAATGCTCAAACACAACAAAATGAATCGATACATCACTCAATGCTTACTCAGTGTCCCAAAGGAAACAACGCAAAATCGTTTGAAATGCGTACGGCTGTTACAATTTTACAAAAAAACGAAGGAGAGAAATGCAAACAAGAAATATACAATCGTGTCAATAATTACCAAATATCTCCTTCAATCCGCGAACTCCAAAAACTTGAATATGAGAAAAATAAATCCAGAAATCAAAAGAAAGCTACACCAGAAACAAGAAAAGAGATCAACAAGGCAAGAAATGCAAAAAGATTTCCTAAGGATAACCCTACAGGTGATTACAGAGGAGGAAAGTGGACCCCACAAGATATCTAATTTTCAAATTTGAAATAAACACATATTTTCTTTGTATTTGAAAATATTTTTATATTATAAGATTTTTGAACCTATAAGTAGCATGACAAAAATTATATAATTTGCTCCTTTTTTATTTTAGTATACAAATATCCCATTTGTTATATGTTCGGTATATATATGATGATATTGTAATCAATTATGCTTAATGAAGCTTTATCCCGTGAACCCCTCATATTATTGGAAAATAAATAGCGAAAACATGTAGAGCTGCTATGTTCTCAAGTGTATGCTGATTTTTGGATTATTTCATGAAAACTAATGGCGGGATATCTTGCATTATTTAAAAAAATTGAACTATGCAAAAATAAATAGTATTATATTTTTTCTCA